CATCGTTGACACTAAAAGATTCACTTAACATTCTTTACTTCTTGTGCTACTCTATCTATTGTTATATGTAGAGAGGAAAAGTTTTTTGTATATTACAATCCTCGTTAAATAAATTAATTAAACTATAAACTATTTCCAGAATTAAAACATCGGCTGTTGTTCTTGAAAGACGAGAAAAATTGTTTCAAGTTTACAATGATAATTCAATTTCCAGTATTGATTCATCACCTGCTATTCCAATAAATTCTAGTTTACCTGATTCTCCTCTCAAATCAATGAATAATCTTTCAACAAACGATTGTATGATTGATCAGATGTTAGGAAAAGCAACAATTACACAAGAAACAAATTTAATTTTTCCTGATGAATATAAAATTCCAGTATTACCAAAAAGCTTTAGTCCAAGATATAGAAACATGTTTATTACACAAATTTGGACCACATCATACCAATCGACAAATACTTATTGATACAATAACTCATGATTTAATAGAGGAATACAATCTTTTGTAAGTTATGCTCAGGCACAAGCTATCTAAATTGATATAAAGTAAACACACATGTTATTCTCTTTAACTATTATCTATATATACCAATTTTATAAACTGCTTTTTTCAACAAATAGAAGTCGCAATTACTACTATGAGTACGATTATTTCCAGCATTGTTTCTTTTGGATTATCTCAATCCTTGACTGTTTGTTCGTGGTTTCATTGAAAGAAATGTTTAGAAAGTAATTGCAATTTTCAATAATATGTTTGCGAAACAGTCTAAAAAACTCTTTAGCAGAAATACTATTATTCACATGCAAGTTATGTATGTTCCTTCTAGGGCTGTGACAGTTACCATTATCGTTACAGTAACTGTAATTCCTGGTCGGTTACCGTTCTTTGTAACGGTAACGTGCAAGCAGTTATCGTACAAGTAACGGTAACTGTTCAGTATATCTTTCAAGAGTCAAATCTCTAAATATCTAGGTATCCAGGGTGAGGGTGAAAGTTCGTAGCCTCACCCTCACCCTCACCCTGGATACCTATATATTTAGAGATTTGACTCTTGAAAGATATACTGAACAGTTACCATTACTTATAACTGGTCGTTACCGTTACTTGTACGGTAACTGCTTATCCGTTACCGTTACTTGTACGGTAAATGCTTATCCGTTACCGTTACCAGGAACGGGAACTGTTCAGCAGTTACCGTTACCGGGTAACGGTGGTAACGGTAACTGGTAACTGTCACAGCCCTAGTTCCTTCATGGTAGACGAAAATATTTTTATGAGTTAATCGAATCGAATATTATGGTAAATTACTTAAACTGGTGAAAAATTTTGACACAATTTTGGGCATAGTAAATCTATCCAAATTTTAACTAGCTGTTATATTACGTATTGCTGTCCTAGTTTTTGTTTTCTATTGAATGGAACAACTAGTATCTCACTATTCATTTTTAGAAGTAAAACACAGAGAATAAGAAAATGAAAAAAATGATGACTTTCGTGTGGAAAACACGAAAAAAATGGCATTTCTAATGATGAAACGGACATTATTTTTGAGGTATTTCATTTTCATTGATCAAAATAGAAATTTTTGTCAAAATCATAAAATGAAATTGGTTAAAAATCAAAATGATGGAATGAGATTGATCAAAAATTTTCATTTTAATCAATGAAAATGAAATACATCAAAAATAATGTCCGTTTCATTATTTTAATGCAATTTTTTTTATGTTTTTATTCCTTGGGAAGAACTGTAAATAAATAATTTAATACTTCGTTCTTTGCATTTAACTATTTATTGTATATTTTTCTTGTCTTTAGTTATCCTTCTCATAAATAATTTAGCAGTATTGGTACAGCTATTGTTCGTAAATTACAATTTCCATTAACCAAAGATAATATAGTAAGTTCGTTTGTATTCTTCATTCCTAATGAATAATTCGATAGGCTGTTCGTGAACAGAAATTAATACATTGGTTTTGCCTTTTTTAAAATTACGTTTTGGATGAACTATCTTTAATATTTGATCGAAGCAATAAATAATAAAAGTTATTTTATATTGAAATTAAATATAAAACTAAAACAGTGTTGGAAGAAATTAAGATTAGGCATAAAGCTTTTTGTAATAAAAAAAACAAAATATATAGCAGTATGCTTTCTAACAATGTCTTAGCAATTTTTGATAATCGCTCAGAAAATCATTTTTTTTATATTAAATTTTAAGAACTAATCGATTTCAGACTTTCATAATCAAATAAAAAAAATTTCTGTCATGTATAAAATTGAAATGTTTTAAACTTAATATTTTGTACCTTGATTTTTTTTCTATTTGATGGCATCTCATTCCTTGCCACATACGAAAACTATTTTTCTTTATTCTTGTTTTTTTTATTGTCAAAACTGATACAAAGATCTCATCTTATTTCCAATACAATCCAAACCAATAAAAGCTTTAAAACAGTTTTAAATATGTTAGATGAAAGTTTTTCATTTCTATTGTATAGATATTGTTTAAACGTTATTAGTACCGACCAAATGATGCTTTAAAGATCTTGAAATTGCGAAAAAGTAACCGACTAGCATTCTTTCGAATTGTAAGCATTCGTGATTCGATGAGTACTTTACATTTTCAAATTATAAAATATTTTTTATGCAATACGATATACTAATTTTTTGAGTGTCAGTTGTATCGATCTATTATAGATATATTGGTTAAGAATTTAATTATTTTTATCAAATAGGGTATTTGGAAAGATGCTGCCCAAACGAAACTGAAACGAAAACGTTTTGAACATCGAGATCATGTCGAGTGTATTTTTGTCTTTCTTAAAGACAAGATAATTTTTGTTTTTGTATTAAAGATGAGCGTATGAGATGCCAGGAACTAAGCTCACTTTAAAAAGTTTTTATTAATAGCTGAGTATTTCTTAAAAAATAGATTTGATCAGCCATTTCGAATGAATTTTTTTAAATTGAATTGACAGGCTTAGCATTTTCTCATAATGAGTCCAACAGAACAATCTGTCTTTTGTTTTCATGCGGTTAGTTTGTGCAACTAATGAGAAAAGATGGGTAGTTTAATATTAATTATTTTGAAGTTTCTATTTCACTGTCGACTCGTATCAGTTATTATTATACACTAATAAATCACACTGATCATTATTATATAAATTGTTTAAGTTGATTCTATGAAAATAAATCAGCAAATCGTGTGAGTCGACGACAAGAAATCCAGCTAAATATCCATTTAAGACCATCCTAAAAATTGTTAATTTCTGATCTCTTGATCAATCACTTATGTTTCGATTAAAGTATTCTTCTTCCGGTTTTGAAAAGCTGCTATTATCAGTTTCTGTTTACTTCGTATACCTATCGTCGAAAATACCCTAAAGGTAGAGCATATTGAATCGTCTGGAGGCATGTAAATTGCAAATATATATGACAGAAATGTTTTTAGTTATTTTTACTCGGTTAACTCTAAGTATATATATATAATTCTCCTAGGCATCATCAGCACTTTATCCAACAATGGTTGTCTCTGATGATGTCATTTATATTTATGTTGATTATCTTCCAATTGTTTCGACAACATCACTTGATGATGTTTTAGCTCTTTTACTTGGCATGTATGCTGAACTTAATTTCAGCAAAAGTAGTCGTGTAATACGTTTACTCTATACAGTTGTTTTTTGTGATAAATGATTTCTTTCTAATACGATTCGTAATGTAACGTACGAAAAGAAAATCGATATTTATGCTGAACAAAATCAAAACACATCAAATAATACAAAATTGATTTCCAATAATTCTACAAATATTAATAGTAATTCTCAATCTTCACCACAAGAAAAAGTTAGTTCAGCATGTGTTTCTACAGTTGAAGATGCTAATCGTATAAATAATAATTTGAACTGTCAAAATTTAGTGAGAGGCACAAAATTTGGTAAGAGGTAGCAGAATTTAGTTGCTCGACAGTCATCATTTTTCGAATGTCACATCAGAATTGAGTACTTCCAGCAGAATTTAGTTTCTCGTCGCCAGAATTTAGTGTCGCAATTTAGTGTCAAGACATGCCGGTACAGATTCAGTTCTAAACCGTAATATGGCTAACGAGGGAACCATCTGAGGTGATACCTCCCGTTTTCATTCATTCATATCTCATTTAGTTGAGTATATTGAGATAGTAAAAATCCTAAAGGGGATTTTCCACAATCTCATTCCTTCAAAAGTTATCGACGTTTTCCTATTTTTACCCTTATACAAGATGAAAAATTTTTTAAATGACAAATTAGCAAAATAAGTCAAAGAGATCTTGAAGTTTGACTATATATGGACAAACTATTTTACTATGGCATATTAGACGAGTGTATCTGTTTACTAGCGCCTTCTGTTATGTGTTGATATAGCTCTATATAAAGGAATACAATACTACTAGTGCCTTTTTTTCTCATATCTACAAGTACCGTTGCACTATAGTTTGTTTGTGATGTCAGAGTCACTTCTATATTTTAATTGGTCATGACAGAATGGCATTGTGAGGAAAGGATTTTCGATTGTGTATACAAGCAGTCTATATATTTTAAACAATTGTGAAAACGTACATACTATTGGGAATTGTGTTCGTTTTAATTTGAACATATTTTGAATAATCATGATCAATCCTCATCGCGTTGCAGAACTGTTAAGTAATTTAACACGCTCGAGGATTTCTATAATGACAAGAAATACAAGAAACCAAATCATCAGAGACCATTCACTTATGTTAAGCCATTCTAGCTAATCAAGAAGTCATAAAATTCCATGAATTCCCAACAATTAAGCAATGTCCAGGGTCAACACAAAACAAACACATCCAAGAAGGTCAAGCAATCCAGGCTATTATTTTACCTCAAGGCTCTCCATGAAACAGAGGAATTTCGAGGATTGCAAGGAACTCACGTAATTCACGTCTGCCAACGTTTATCAGTAAACTACGAAATTCCAGAAATCCTACTATCCAGCGCACTTAAGGATCAGCAACGATTACCATGTAAGTAAGAGATCGA